CCCGTGTCCCCTGCATCGGCAGGCGGACTCTCAACCACTGCGCCACCAGGGAAGCCCTGAGTATGCATTTTTAAGTTCATTTTTTCCATTTTTATTTTTATTTTATTTTTTTAATTGAAATATAGTTGATTTACAATGTTGTGTTTGTTAACAGGTACACAGCAAAGTGATTCAGTTATACATACATATATATGTATATGTGTTTGTATATATATATATTCTTTTTCAGATTCTTTTCCAATATAGGTTATTACAAAATATTGAGTATAGTTCCCTGTGCTGTGCAGTAGGTCCTTGAATTTCTTTTATTGTTTAATTGAAGCATAGTTGATGTACAGTATTATATAAGTTACAGGTATATAACGTGGTGATTCACAATTATTTTAAACGTTATATTCCATTTATAGTTACTACAAAATACTGGCTATATTCCCTGGATTGTACGATACATCCTTGTAGCTTATTTTATTTTATTATTTATTCATTTAGTGTTTTGGCCGTGCTGCACGGCTTGTGGAATCTTAGTTCCCCGACCAGGGATCGAACCCAGGCCACTGCCATGAAAGTGCTGAGTCCTAACCACTGGACCGCCAGGGAGTCCCCCTTGTAGCCTAGTTTATGCGTAATGGTTTGTGCCTCTTCCTCCCCTCCCCCATGTTGCCCCTCCCCCTTTCCCTCTCCACACTGGTAACCACTAGTTTGTCCTCTGTATCTGTGAGTCTGTGTCTTGCACTTTTTTTTTTAAGCTACTGAATTCTTTATCATTTGAAATCTTTCAAAAAGTCCAGAATATAAAACAGAATGCAGACTTTCTCTGATTAAAACATGGGAGGAGGCTGTCAGGGCGAGGAGGGTCCTCGGTGGTACCCCCGAGGTGTCTCCATTCAACTCCTAGGGTGACAGGGAGCCTGGTTGGAAAACCACTGCTCTGGTCACTCACAGATGGGGACACCGAGGCCCGAGGGGTCATGGTGGACGGAGGTGCATCAGCCCCGAGCCCAGGCTCCCCCAAAGCCCGTTGGTCCAGGGCAGGGCCCGTAACCCGCCTTCTCTGCCACAGGACCGTAGAGCATTGTCTGCACATGTCCGACCGCATGGTCATCTATTTCTTCATCGCGGCCTCCTATGCGCCCTGGTGAGTGTCTCTGCGGGTCCCTGGGAGGGCTGGCGTCCTCTCTTTCCTTTGTTTGAATTTCTTCGTGTTGGGCTGGGTGATATGTTGGCACAAAAGCGTGTCGGTAAAAAGACGCCCACCACCCATTCTCCTTCCTAGAAGCAACTACTTAGTACCAGTTTCCTGTGTATCCTTCCGGAGTGCTTTTGTGTAGGAAAGAGCAAACGTGTATATATGAGTATATGTACAGACACATATTTGCATATATGCATATGTATATATGCAAATACACACACATGCCTATATTTTATATGCTTATATTTATACTTATACTTTCCTACTTTAATACAAAAGGAAGGATACTGTACAAACTGCAGTTTGCTTTCATTCTCTTAGTCATGGACTTGGGGACATCTTTCCGTATTAGTACCTTGAAGATTTCCCCACTCCTTTTTCTTTCTTTCTTTTTTTTTTTAACAGCAGTATAATGTTCCCCGGCCACCCCTATTTATGAATATTTATGACATAGGCTCTCCCCCTTCCTTTGCTATAACAAACAGGGCTGCAGTGAAAGTCCTTGCTGTTGTACCGCTCAGCATAGGTGCTTGGTTCTGTTGGCTCAAATCAGGTGAAATTGTTGAGGCAACCTTTTCTGATCTACAGAAACAGCAGGTTCATATGGCCAAGCCTGATGTTTGTGGGGTAAATTTGAGGATTGGACGGCTGGGGGGCAGGAGCGGGCCTTACTCATTTGGCTAACTGTTGCCAAGTCACCCTCCACAGATTGTACCAGTTTAACCTCCTCCAGCAAGGGACTTCCTTGGTGGCGCAGTGGTTAAGAATCCACCTGCCAATGCAGGGGACACGGGTTCCAGCCCTGTTCCGGGAAGATCCCACATGCTGCAGAGCCACTAAGTCTGTGAGCCACAACTACTGAACCTGCGCTCTAGAGCCTGCGAGCCGCAACTACTGAGCCCACGTGCCACAACTACTGAAGCCCCCTCACCTGGAGCCCGTGCTCCACAACAAAGAGAAGCCACCGCAATGAGAAGCCCGTGCACTGCAACGAGGAATAGCCCCTGCTTGCTGCAACTAGAGAAAGCCCGCGCACAGCAGCAAAGACCCAATGCAGCCAAAAATAAATAAATAAATTAATTAATTAAAAAAGAAAAACAAAAAAATAAACTCCCCCAGCAAGTGCCTCAGGGTTTTCGAAAGTTCTGGAATAAAGAAACACTCAGGTCACACGCGAAAAGCCGGGAAGCCTGCAGAGCCCCTGTGAGGGGAGAAGGGCCGTTCCAGTCACACTTGTTGAATGTGTCTGGGTGACCAGGCGGTGCTGGGGGTCAGGACGCTAAGGTTCTGGCTGGCAGAGGGGCTCTGTGACAGGACAGTGACAACACGGTGACACAGGCCTGTGCGCATGCAGCCGTGGAGCTCAGAGGAGGCACCACCCTGCAGAGGCGGCTTCAAGAGGGCTTCCTGGAGGAGGTGTGCCGCTCTGAGAATCTGCACGTTGGCCTCTGAGGAGTGGGAGCCACAGAGGTTTGTTCCATTTTTGCCTGGGGAATTCCCATTTTTGGCTGTTGTAAATGGAGTGTTCTTTTTTATCATCTCAAGTAATCAAGGGGTTTTGTCGGTGCGCATAAAGATGACTGCTTTTTCTTTGTTTGTTTGTTTTTTGTGGTACGTGGGCCTCTCACTGTTGTGGCCTCTCCCGTTGCGGAGCACAGGCTCCGGACGTGCAGGCTCAGCGGCCATGGCTCACGTGGGCAGGACAGAGAGGCAGGAGGGGTGTGAGCAGTGGTCTGGGGTACCCTCTCGATGTTGAGAGCAGGCCCCGTGGCTGTCTACTGTTGGCAATGCCCAGTGCCCAGCAGAGCGCCCAGCGCTTAGTAGGTGCTCAGACACGTGCTTGGGAGGAATGGGTGACTTTGGGCTTCGTCTGGCTTGGTGCCCACCTCCTCCTCTCTGAGGCTGGGAAGGCTCGGCGAGGGAGCCTCCTGCAGTCTTGGTCCGTTTACATCTGGGGCCGGAAGAGGCAAGTTCACTACCAGGGTCCGCGGGGACACTGACCGCCTGGGCCTTTACTCTTGGTGTCTCTGCACATCGGAAGATACCTCGGAGCGCTCCCGGGAGGCTCTCGGGCTAGTTTTTCCAACTCAAGTTTGTAGCGAGCTTTGCCTCTGCCCTGAGTGGGGTCTGCAGCCCCTAGGGTGAAGGAGACAGGACCCCAGTGAAACAGACAAGGTCTTCACATGTCAGGGTGGCCTTGAGAAGGGACCCTGAGACTCATTTGCAGGAGTGCACATTCAAGTGATTTGGAAGGGGGTTGTTTCCTTAAAGATGTTTTCATTATAAAAATATATGCTTACTGGACTTCCCTGGTGGTGCAGTGGTTAAGAATCCGCCTGCCGGTGCAGGGGACACAGGTTCGAGCCCTGGTCCGGGAAGATCCCACATGCCGTGGAGCAGCTAAGCCCATGTGCCACAACTACTGAGCCTGCGCTCTAGAGCCCGTGAACCACAACTACTGAGCCCACGCACCACAACTACTGAAGCCCATGTGCCTAGAGCCCGTGCTCCGCAACAAAGAGAAGCCACTGAAATGAGAAGCCTGCGCGCTGTGACGAAGAGTAGCCCCTGCTCGCCTCAACTAGAGAAAGCCCACGTGCAGCAACAAAGACCCAACACAGCCAAAAATAAATACATTTAAAATAAAGTATCAATAAAAGCTTTGGAAAAAATATATGCTTACTATAAAAATTTCAGAAAACGCTAGACAGGTAGAAAATATTTGGCAGTGTCTGCCTCAGGTAACCAACCACTCACCTTTTTCTTTCTGTTCTCTCCACTCAATGTGTACTTTTAAACTTTGGTGTTTTCTTCTTGCTATAGACACCTTTACACCCTACCTTTTCTCTTAACTTTCTGAGTATTTTTTCTTATTATTTCAAGCCCTTTATAAACATTATTTTAAAAGTCTACATTGAGCGGGTGTACCACAATTTTCTTTTTTTCGGTACGCGGGCATCTCACTGCTGCGGCCTCTCCCGTTGCGGAGCACAGGCTCCGGACGTGCAGGCTCAGCGGCCATGGCTCACGGGCCCAGCCGCTCCACGGCACGTGGGATCTTCCCGGACCGGAGCACGAACCCGCGTCCCCTGCATCGGCAGGCGGACTTTCAACCACTGCGTCACCAGGGAAGCCCGACGACTGCTTTTGAAACGTGCCCGGGGGATATTCACAGTGAGTTCCCACACGCTGCAGCCAGCACCCAGGTGGAGAAACAAAACATCTCCAGCCCTTCCCCAGTCCGCTGCCCCGCAGGGGTAACCGCAGTCCTGACATCTACCATCATAGGGTAGTTTTGCCTGATTTCTTACTTCATGTTAATGGGATCATCGTTCCTTCGGATCTTGCTTTTTCGGGCAACATTATGTGGTGAGAGTCGTGGAGTCATGATTGCAGAAGTCACCGTCCAGTCTGCTTGCTGGACAGTGTTCTGGGCAAATAAACCACAGGTCTTCACCTCCTGTGACCGGCGTTTGAGGGTGATTATTGCTCCACGGTCCTCTGGTCATTGTAGTGCGGGTGTGGTGGTGAACAGGGTACAGACGGGAGCTGCTGGTCTACACTGAGGAGTGGTTGGGGGTTTGAAACAGGATATTGATGTAGTTTTATTTTGGGGACTTAAAGGTGATGCCTTGGGAGCAGGGAGGTGTGAGGAGGCTGGTGCAAGGATCTGGGAGAGAGATTGTGATGGCTGGGGCCGTGGTAGTGGCCTTGGAGTCGAGAGGACGGATAGATGGATGCGTGGATGGATGGACGGATGGATGGAAAAGATATTTAGAGGAAACTGAGTGGACTGAGTGACTGAAGGTGGGGGAGAGGGGATGTAGAGCGGGGGATGCCAGGGTTTCCGGCATCAGCTTTCCCCAGGAAATCAGCGACTCTCGGGAGTGTTAGGAAATCAGCCCTGCTGCCGTCAGCCTGGAGACATCGTCAGAGGCAGCCGCATCCCCAGCTGGGCTTTGCGGGAGGAGGGGACATGCTTCTGTCCTGCCGACCAGGATGCTTCTGGTTGTTGGATGCCAGGTGGGCAGGCGTATGGAGGCTCTGAGAAGCATTGTTGGTCCTGGGTGAGGGGCTGCTGCTGGAGTGGGTAGGTGGGAGCCATGGGAGAAGCTGAGAGCAGCGGGGAGAAGCCAGAAGCCATGGCTGGGCACTCAGTCCACAAGGCCATCTCCTGATGGCCCCATGTCACCCCCAGGCATCACCTGTAGTTGTTGGGAGCCAGGTGATCTCAGGTTTCTTTTTGGATGTTGCCAGTTAGAGTAAAGCTAGGTTTTGTGCTCAGCTGCCGTAACTATCCTTGATGTAGATTTCTAGAATAGCCCTCTGACTGTCCCCCGCTTGGCTGATTCAATGCCTGGATTTCTGCTCTTTATCCCTGGCTGTGACCACTTGGGCACCGGCTCTGTGCCCATCCCGTGCTGGTGTCTGAGGATACAGCTGTGAGCAAAGACACAGACTCTCTCTCCTTATGGGATTTACAGTCTCACGGAGGATGCAGACGTCAACTGTCCCAAGGATACTGACACAAGGAATGAACCACAACTGTGCCGTGAAGGAGGGGTACAGGTGCCGAGGTGGGGAGATGTGCCCTGGCTTGCGGGCTTTGTAGGAGGAAGAGTCGGCAGAACTTGGCGGTTGCTTGGATGTGGGGTTGAGAGAGAGAATCAGAGGACACAGACGTCATTCACGTGATTCACGAGGCCGGCAGGACCGTGTCACGAAGGATGGAAAAAACTGGCAGGATCAAGTGTGACACAGAATCTTCCTTCCCCAGTGCTTCAGAAAACAAACACAGCAGAGTTATAAATATTGAGGTGGGCAAAAGAAAAATCACCATCTTCTGGAACCAGAGTCCCTCTCTGCAGGAATCTGGAGCGTTTCCGTGCAGTTTAGTTGTGCAGACGGCTGCACAGGTTGAAGACAGTCCGTGTGCTGGACAGGAATGCATGTGTGTGGGGCGGAGCACAGGCCTGCGCTGTCCGGGGCCCCCGGCTGTGTGCCTAAGCCAACAGCTGGAGAAAACACACAGAGGCCAAAGGCTGGAGAAGGCTGGGACCCACAGGCGCCTGGCCCTGGAGACACCACCTGTGCCAAGCAGTGGAGAGAAAAGCCCACTTTCCGGGAGGCTGGGGAGAGAGTCACAGGAATCCGGAAGGAAGGAAGGAAGGAAGGAAGGAGTTCCTTCTGCAAAGTCTCTCCATCACCCTGTACTGACAGACTTGATGCTGTGCCAGCTGCAAAGGAAGAAATTCATGAGGCCCAGCTCAGTTAAAAACCCAGCCAGCAAAAAGGGTGAATGTGGAGCCGAGAGTCAATACATTAGTAACCAGCCTGGAGGGAGCCTCACCTTATATTCCTGTCGCCTTTTGGTGGCCGGTTTGAGTGGTTTTCAGGCGTTTCCTACAGGGACTGATGCTGGGATGAACGTCCTTTTCTGTGCCTCTGTGTGCTCGCAAAACAGCGTTCCTCTGGCCAGGCCCTGAACTTGGAGTGCCTGGGCCACGGGATACGTGCCCTTCCGAGTCTGATACGTTCTCCAAACAGGCTTTACTTGTTTATATGCCCACTGGCTTGAGATGCCCTTTTCTTTCAGTGCTTGGACATGATCAGTTGTGCTAAGTTTGCTCGAATAATTGCCTATTGTTTGTTTATCTTTCTGTCTCTCCACGTGTCCTCCCGTGAGAGGCCACATCCCACACATGGAGCCACGGGGACAGGGGTTCTCTGGGGTCGGTGTTCCTGTGACGGGCTGGCTGTGGAGGGCTAGATCCCAGTGCCCGCCTCAGGCTGTGCCCTTGGCTCTCTCTCCCAGGCTGAACCTTCGCGAGCTGGGCCCCTGGGCCTCGCACATGCGATGGCTGGTCTGGATCATGGCCTCTGTGGGCACCATCTATGTCGTCTTCTTCCATGAGCGGTAAGCCAGGGCTTGGGGGAGCGGCCTCAGGTCGGGGGGGTGCCTCCATCAGGGCCTCCTCCCTGCCCCCAGTGAGACGAGACCCCAGGATAACCCCAGAAGCATGAGGGCTCAGCTGTGCCTGGCATCCCTGTGTTCAGGTCCATTGATGGCCACCAGGTCCACAGCCCATAGGGTCAGTCTGAAGAGTTAAAAAAAAAAAACAAAAAATGGGCGTTGTAGGTTCCTAGACCCACTGAATGATGTCAGGTATTACCTGGCCTCCCAAAGCTGTGTTAGCGGATAAGGGGGAGAGGCTCTCAGGGCTGCCCACTTCCTTCCATCCTGCTGAGTGACAGGCTGGGAATGATTAAGTGTGGGAAAGAAGCAGAGCTAGAGAAGCCAAAGGGAATAACAGACTCCTGGAATCTTCAGGGACAGCAAACAAAAGGTGTCAGTTGGTGCAGCCACTCAGATGGATGGAGAGTGGCTGCGTGGGCCTTGTGCGGAAAGGTGCTGGGATCGAATAGTAATGTCTGCCCTGGGTTGAGCATGGGAAGCACCCATAGGCATGCTACACCCAGCATTTGCAATCCTCAAATGTCATTTCATGGATGTGGAAACCAAGTCTCAGAGAGGGAAAGATACCCTCCCATGGCCACCCAACTCTGCCAGCACCTGCTGGGTGTAACTGGATGAAATCTGGGCCCAGGAGTGCTGGGCGGAGGGCGGAGTCCCTTTCTCTCATGCTTCCGGCCAGGGTGTCCCCTCCTAACCCGAGTGGGGAGCTATCCCTTGTGCGGAGGCTGTCCTGAGGCCAAGATGGCTTGTCTTCCCGGCAGGTACAAGCTCGTGGAGCTGCTCTGCTACGTCGTCATGGGCTTCTTCCCCGCCCTGGTCATCCTTTCCATGGTAAGTTGCCCCCACCCGGCGTGGGGCCTCCCGTCTGGCTGGAGGGGACCCACAGTGACTCTGGAGATTGTCAGGTTGAACCTTCTCCTCTGGCAGACGAGGGAACTGAGGCCCGGGGTCAGCGTGACTTGCGGGCTGAGGCAGGAGAACGTGCAGGTCACCCCAGGGCTCGGCTCCCCGGTTCTATGGCACCTCCTCTCTCTGCTTCACCTCCAATGAGTTCGTTAGTCCCTCGGGGCTCCAGTTCCCGCCTATTTAGGGATCAAGTAAGGAAAACCCATGGACAGTGATTAGAATGGTGCCTGGAACAGAGTAAGTACCCGATTGCTAAATTAAATCTATAATAATAACATAGGTGGCCATGGAGGCAGAGCCGAGTCTCAGACTTCTGACAGCCCCTCTGATGCTTCCACACCCTAAACGGCTTCTTGACATGTGAAGGTTGACCTCTGTACTGTGTGTCCTGAGCCCTTGTGACGTGCAGGAAGCTTACTCACAGGACCTTACTTCCCCGCCCCAGGCGTCCTTGGAGATGGATGTGACCACCTCCGTTTTATGAACGAGGGTGCTCAGGTTCTGAGAGAGAAGGTGACTGGCCCAAGGACATGCAGCCCTCAAGGGGCTGAGCTGGGATGTGGCCCTGTAACCTCCCAACCCCGAGTATCGGGATCTTTGGGCTGCACCACCTCGCCCTGTGAGCAAGAGAGCCTTGCAGGGAGAGGCCTCAGGGCCCCAGCCATGGAAGAGCAGCAGCTTGTGTGGCCGTGGGTGGATCCCCTTTCCTCTCTGAGCCTCAGTTGTCCCTTCTGTCAAATGGGCACGGTCAACTCAGCCTGCTGGTACCTCCCTAGGCCAGGTAACAGTTTCTTACTTTTAAGTGATTATTGTTGGCAGATGTTAAAAATGTATGTAGTCGAGAAGCCACTAGATTGTGAACTTTAAAAGGGTGAATTTTATGGTGTGTCAATTATAGCTAATAAAATTATTTCAAAAGAAGGAAGGACGTATGTCCTATAGATCTTGCTGAAGGAATTTGTGTTTTAATAGATATTTCTTTTTTTTCCCCCAAATTAAAATTGACTGTTATCTGTTTGAAATGACCAGTAAATAACTTATCCTATAAATTTAAATGACATTACATTATATATATTTGAGGCATTGATCTTTGTCTAAATTAATCTCTTATCTATGAGTAGCGGTTTATTTTAAAGTTGAAAATATTTTGAAGTGAAAAATTTCTGAGTGTGTTAGTATCCATACATAGCTCTTAAAGAAAATTTATGTAGTCAAATATAGCACTTTTTTTTTTAAATTTTATGGCTTTACCTTAAGTGTTATGGTTAGGAAGGTCTTCCGTTTCCCAAGTTTATATAAGTATTTACCTATATTTTCTCCTGTTTCTTTTACGGTTTAACTTTTAATTTTAAACTCTGTATTCCCACCGCCGTTTCTTATGTATATGGCGATTCCTCCCCAAATGATTAGGCAGTTATTTATCTACCATTTAAAAATGTTCCTTTTATCATATGTTAGCTTCATATATGTATATGTGGGTCTGTGTCACAAGTTGGCCTATTCTTATACTAGTACCAAACCATGTTACTTATTTTAGCTTTTGTTGCATCTTAATACTTGGCAGTGAAATCTCTCCCCATTAGTTTTCCTACTCAACATTTTCCCTGTGATTTGTATTTATTTTTACAGATTACCTTCCCCCCGCCAAGTTTACTTGTTTAAATATGTATGTTTAAGTTATATCTATTAATTATATAATATCCATCAAATTATGTATTACATAATTTAAATACATGTATACATATATTGTAAGTGTATATTTAAATCCATACTCACTACAAAAAATAAGTCCTGTCTGAAAATGTATAAAAGAGCTGAAATCCCCCTCTCAACTTCTCCCCAATGTGATGCCCCTGCTGCAACCACCATTAATGGTTCGTTGTGTATCTTTTACATTTTTTTTTTTTTTGGCTGCACCACTCGGCTTGCGGGATGTTAGTTCCCTGACCAGAGACTGAACCCTGGCAGTGAAAGCGCTGAGTCCTAACCACTGGACCGCCAGAGAATTCCCTCCATTTTTTATCTATAGGCAAGTCTATGTGGATATGCGGACATATTGACTTGTTTGTTCTTCTTTTACAAAAATGGGATCACACTGTCCTACAACATGCTTTTCTCACTTGGCATGTTGTCATGGGCGTGTGTCCATGCCTGTCACATAAGTCACCCTGCCTCGTGAGATTGCTGTGAAGATGGCATTAGATACCTCACGTAAGGCCCCTTGCACTGTGTACAAGGCCTGGCACATAGTAAGCACTGGGAAGTGTTACTGTAATATGTCCTTAATACTCAGGTATCACCTCTTGAGAACTGGGTGCGTGACTATACGTATGTTCAATGAAATACTGCCCAGCTGTTCCAAAGACTGGCGTGGATCTCCACGTGGGGTCGTAGTCTGATCTCCACAAGACTCTGTCGTGGAACTGATGTCTCAGGACGGCAGGGATGGTGCGAGCCCCCTTTTCTAAGGTGATTAGTTCCTCTGCACACGTACACGTATATGAAGTGCAGACCGTAGGTATATCGTGTGTGTCTGGACAATTCTAGAAGGATACCGGCAGACACCGTTACTGGTGGTAAGCAGTGATACCTGCGGGAAGCGGGCTCAGGGAGAGGGGGCAGTGGGCTCTTCTTACTCCCTGTTCCCTCTGTCCGTCCTGTTCGTTGAGGCCCCGTAACCAACAAAAACCCAGGTGTTAATAGTGCGCACCTCAGAGGGCTGGGACTGCTGCCTTTTTCTTGCTGCAGTTCATTTTTCTCTAAAATTTTTCGCCATGAGTATGTATTACTTTAAAAAAGTGTGATAAAATATGCATAGGATTTATGATTTCAACCATTTTTAAGTGTACAATTCAGGGGCATGGAGTACATTCACCTTGTCATGCATCCATCACCACGATCCATCCACAGAACTTTCTCATCGTCCCAAACTGAAACTCTGTCCCCATTACACACTAACTCCCCTCCCCCACCCTCAGCCCCCAGGAGCCACCCTTCTACTTTCTGACTATGATTTTGACTCCTCCAGGGACCTCGCATAAATGGAATCCTATGGTATCTGTCCTTTTGTGACTGGCTGATGGCACTTTGCATAACATCCTTGAGGTCCATCCATGTTGTATCATGTGTCAGAGTTTCCTTCCTTTTTAAGGCTGAATAATATTCCATTGTATAAAGCAACATGAATAGCACTTTGTTTATCCATTCTTCTCTTGATGGACACTTGGGTTACTTGCACCATTTGGCTACTGTGAATAATGCTTTTGTGAACTTGGATGTACAAGTAACTGTTTGAGTCTCTGCTTTCACTTCTTTTGGGATACACCCAGATATATTGCTTTTTAGAATAGATAACAAAGCTATAAAATATTCTTTGAGATTTTGATAGAAATGTGTTACCCTGGAGAATGAATTTGGGGGGAATTGATGACATCACTGTGTTGAGATGCCCCACCTGGGGCTCTGGGCTGCCTCACCATCCACATGTCTTCTCGCCTTGGGTGGTGGGGGAATGGCTGGGTGATTCTGATCTTACTGGCTGCTCATCTGACCTGTGCTCACCCTTGTCCTTGCCGACAGCCCAACACCGAGGGCATCTGGGAGCTGGTGACCGGAGGGGTCTTCTACTGCTCGGGCATGGTGTTCTTCAAGAGTGACGGGAGGATCCCCTTTGCCCACGCCATCTGGCATCTCTTTGTGGCATTTGGTGCTGGTACCCACTACTATGCCATCTGGAGGCACCTGTATCTGCCCAGCACCCTGCAGGCCAAGGTGTCCAAATGAGGTGGCTCAGCCTGCACAGGACATTTAGGCTTTTGGAGCAGAGCATCACAGGGAGTGTTTCTGTGAACTTGAGCCCAGAGCCCAGCGCCCAGGCCCCCCATCTTCCCTCCTATGGGTAGAGCTTTTAGATGGGTCCAAGGTTACTTCTGGTGACAGCCAGACCACCCCTTGGGTCCTAGGTGAGAAAGAAAGCATTTAGTCATTTTTATAGAGGAGAAATTAACCCCGTAATGTGTTTCTATTCTAGACAAATGTTTCCTAATACAACATCGTCAGAAAAGGGGGCAGACGTGGTCCTGGCCAATTGAGGAATGATGGGCCAATATGAGCTTCCTAAGGTCCTGAGAAATCTATCAGGGAGTCTAGTGGGTTAGTTATACCTGGGTGGCCAGGGCCTCCTTCTCTGCTATTAAAGTCCTGGCTGGGGAATTGTCCCCTGCTCAGGGAAAGTCACCCAGCTTGTAGATCAGGGATGGTGAATATCCACGACCGTGGCAGACATCACCAATCAACTGCAGCGTGGCGTGGTATCAGGATCCTTCCCAAGACTGCTCTGGGAAGCCGCTACCAATCGACTTGGCACTCATGATGGCACCTCTTTGCCTTGCTTGCCCTGTGTGCTCTGCACTGGGGTCATGCCCAGACCAGTTCAGTGTTTCCATGTCAGGGAGCAGGCTTATCCCCTAGAGGGGGCAGTTTGGGCCCGTGGGGGGAGAGCAAGTGTACCCAGAGCAGCCCCTGTCGTTCTACTGCACCGTAGCTGGTTCTCAGTGCAGAGGAATGAGTGGTTGGGGATGGGAAAGCTGTCACTTGGCCATTTCTTCTCATGCCGAAAAATCCAGAGAAATTATGAGAGCCATTCATTGGGGGTGGGGTGGGAATGGGGAGGGGCAAGCAGACCCCAGGAACTTGTCTGCTTGCTCCCGGTTTAGGGTTTGTGGTTCAGATTCTTACCGGGTGCCAATCAGCGGCCCTTGGAGGCTCCTCCGATGAGCCCTAGAGAGAAGGCCTCGGCTAATCTGATAGGGATCTGGGCAGAGTGACTGGGTTACCCCAACCTCTGAATCCCCCAGTAGCCCAAAGAAAAGGCTTCCAGGGGCCTATCCTCGGCCCCTTCCCAGGGCTGGGCCAGGGATCTGTACCTGACACAGGGACATTTACTGGGAGGGATCCAGGCCTAGATCCAGGGTCTGACCTGGAATCTCAGACTCTCTGGGTCAAGATCTGTCTCATTCTACAGGCTTCATTCTACGACTCCCAACCAGAGTCAAGTGGATAAAGACAAGATGCCTTATGCTTAGTTCTCATACATTCCAGGGTATTTCAGGACTCCGGCATCTGGAATCCCATATCCAAGCCGGTATTGAATCATCCAACACATTCCTCAGGCAGGCGGGTTCTGAGCTGGGAGATGCCTTGGGGATGTTTTGTCCTCTTGCCTGTGTGTCTGGAAGCTGCCTCTGTTCTGCACACCTGCCCTGTGGAGCCCACCAAGTACTTCTCATCATTTGGGGTCAGGGTTGGAGTTGGGTGGGGGAGGGGAAGCTTTGTGGGGGAAGGACAGGCTGGAGGGCAAGGCTTGCCCCTGGTTGGGGGCAGGGACACTGTGACCTGACCTCTGCCTGAGCCTGAGGTGGGGAGGGGTCACGTGGGTTCTGGAATGCTGTTTAGGAAAGCTCCCAAAGCATGGCACCATGGCAGGCCAAGATGACAGTCCCGTCATCAAGGGGTTGATGGGGACCAAAGCCCTGTGGCAGGGCCAATGCTGGGTGCTTGGGACACTGACCCGGGCTCTCTTTACTGGCCCCCCAGCCCCCGCTGAACTCCTCTGATCCCTGCGTCTCATTGTTCCTCCTCCTGGGTGTTGGGTCTTACATTTTCCCCTAGACAGCCTGCCCTGTTATCTCCCACACCTTTTGGGGTGCCAGTTCCTCTGATGGGGACTCTGTTCACCCGTCATTCACCCAACTCACTCCTACACATCCTTCAAAGCCCTACTCGGGCATCAGCACTGAAGAACTTCCGACCTTCCTCTGACTAAGGGTCTCCCTCCTCTGCTTCCCCAAAGCCCCTGGGCTCACCTGCTCACACTCGGAGCCCTGTCCTTTGTCACCCTAGTACTTGCACCTGCCACCCAACCCAGGAGCTCCTGGAGGGAGGGACTGCGTCTTGCTAGACTTGGGACCAATTGCGGCATCGCCCCCTTGCTGAGGGCTTGGGCCAATTCCTTAACCTCTCTGGGCCTCAGTGTCCTCTGCTGTAAGATGGGTGTGATAAGGCTACACCTTGCAGGGTTGCTTGAAGATTCAGCAAGTTAATGACTGTAAAACATCAGGCCTGGTATCCTAATTAGCTCCCTTGGTTGGAAAGCAACCCCTGATAATGATAATGAGGGGACAGAGCTTGTGCTGCCCAAAGGAATGAATCACTAATGGTGGAATTTCTGACTGTGGACAGTCTGGTGAGGACACTGGAAGGTATTCTGGGTATTCTGTGCAGCCTTGACCACACTCCCCCACCCCCATTCCAATTCAGGACCTGCTTCCCATGAACTGTCTCTCTTCCCCAGCATCATTCTGAGAGTGAATTTCCCAGGATTCCATTTAATCCAAGCCTAGACCCTGGACCTCCAAATATATCACGAACATTGCAGGAAAGGAAAAGATGTTCCTTAGGCTGGTCTCTTTTTAGGTAACGACCTGTCCCAGGAGCATTCTAGGCTGTGCCCTGGGCATGTGGAGTGGAGAGGTCACGACACTGGAAATTCAGATGCCCGCCAGCTCCATCTTCCTTGAAGCTGTCATGTGCCAGGCTGACCCAGCATGGTGGCTGTTTTGCCCCAGGGAGCCAGGGGAGCAGTTGGCAGCGGACTGGCCTGTTTGACATTCCAGGCACTTTGGCAAGTGCTCCTGAGCTGGGCACTGCCGGGGCGCAATGAGGGGTGGGAGCTGATGCGGAGGCTGGAGGTGAAGCGGGTGGGGCAGAGGCTCACATTTCAACAGCACACCTCCCATGGCACCCTGTGCTGGCGGCCAGGCCTGCAGTTGACCACCTGCTTAGTCCGTTGGCCATGGTCGGGACAAACCAGAGCAGGCACGCTTGCTGGTGGAGGCCTGGTCCCCAGGGCAGGGTTTCCCTGAAAGGCCCAGAGCAGGACTTGCTCAGGGCTGTCCCTAGCACCACCAGCCCCTCAGGCCAGGGAGGGATTGAAATCAATATCATAGACCAGAGCTGCCTTTCTGTCTTGATTGGCAATTGAACGTATGCTGGGAACAGGGCTGAGCATCCTTCTTTCCATCAGCCTCGGGCTCAGGCTGGGAGAGAATCCTAGGAAAGCACTGGTGGAGAGGGGGACAGAGATGGGACTTGCAGGTGGGCGTGGATCTGAAGCTCTACGGTACCCCGCACAGTAGGGTGACTTAGAAGGTGGCAGTCCTGGGCTTCAGCTTACCCAGCTTTTTTCCATACCTGTCTGCCAAAGCCGAAGTGCTCTGAATGTTTTCCTGCAGCTCTGCCTGAGCCGCGGCATTGGGACCCAGGCCTCCATGGGGAACACGGGGAGGGGCTGCTCAGGCAGCCCACAGACCCACACTGGCTTCAGGCACCACGGGTGCTCAGAGGGGCAGGTGGAGCTCAGAGGCCGGGAGATGGGTCTCGTGGCCTGGTCAGAAAGGCACCTGTCAAATTTGCTGCCACGTACTGTGTAACCAGATGCTGAGATGTAGCCTCTGGGAATAGCATCGCGGGGTCTGTGGGGTCTGGAAGGTGCCCGTGGAAACCCCAGCAGCCACTTGCACATGTGCACACCTGCTCGGGTGTACTTATGGGAGGAGCAGGAAGCTGAGGGAGGCGGGGGCTTACCTGCAGGGCGCTCCTCCCGGGGACCAGTCTCTGTGCCAGTGGCTTTAGAGATGCTCTATCCACTGACGGACATGCACCCTCACTCCCACCCCGTGAGGCGAGGATTACTGGCTGGTCTTACAGAGCAGGAAACCAAAGCACGGGGAGGTTTGGCGACTTTCCCAAGGGCACCCAGCTTCGAACTGGCAGAGCGAAGCTTTGAAGCCAGGACTCTCTAACCCCCAGCCGTCACGTCCCTTGAGCAGATCTCCTGCTTCCAAGGAAACCCACTACCCCCAAGTCTTTCCTCCAGGGAGGAAAGCCACGCTTAAAATTTTTAACAATAGTTAAAAACAAACAAAAAAAATCCACACCCTGGCCTGCAGCCAATTTCCATGGTGTAAATACCAACCCCCCTTCCCCCTCAATGGCCAGTTTCACCCTACGGGACTGACATTCCTGAAGATGCGTCGGGAAGAAATGCGTACAAGCCAGGCCCAGCACACCACTGCCCCCTGCTTCCCAGTGGTGTTCCTCTCGGAGGCTGGCCAGGGATGCAGCTCGGAAGGATCCTGCGGTCAGGCCTGTCACCGAGACACACAGAAATTTTGTCTCAGGAATCTGGAGCCAGTCCAGCCCTACACTGGCCTGTGTGCAAGGCCCCCGGCCAGTCCTCATTCTCTGTGCCTCAGTTTCCTCATCTGTAAAATGGAGCTTGCAATTGGTGTATGGAACCCCTCTGTCCTGTTAACTGCAGGGCCAAGGCCACGTCTTTGCTGGAAGAAGTCAGAGCAGCTGTTCTCAGCCCTAGGGTTTGGCCAGAAAACTACCAGGGCGGTGCTAAACTGCAGACCCCAGATCCCCACCCACTCCCCGGAATGCTGAGCCAGCAGGTCATGGTGGAAGGGCACTTGGAACTCTGGAGTCTGAACTTCCAGCAAACTCCCGGGTGGTTTGGACACTGGTTCCAGAAGCCCTGCTCTGGAGCTCATCTTCTCTGAGGCCCGGCCCTGCTTGTTAGTGGTGAGGTTCTCCAGGGGACAGAACTCATGTCCAGGGGCTGGGGACCTAACCACTGCTTTTGCTTTTCGCTGTCTCTTTTTCATGTGGGTTCACGTTAACCCTCCCAGCAGCCTGTGTTTATACACAAGGCCATTCCTTAAACTGGGACCTGTCACTGATTTTTCCTAAGCTCAGTCCCAAGTCCTGTGTGATTTCCATGGTCTTTACCGTCACTCTGAGAGGTAGGTATGAGCCCATTTTACTGATTTGGAGACTGTGGCTCAGGTTAAGTAACTTGTGAAGGGAAAGTAGAAATAAAGAATCCCGAATGGACAGAGAAATAAGAGACATCGTCAACAGCAATGCTGTTCGGTATGGTAGCTGTTAAATGCAGGTGGCTCTTTAAATTTAAGTCAATTAAAATGAAATAAAACAAAGAGTTCAGTGCCTCAGTCACACTACCCGCATCATAAGTGCTCAATAGCCCCACGGGGCCAGTGGCTACCTTTTTGGATAGCGTAGCCATAGATCATTTCCATCGTGGCAGAAAGTTCTATTGGATAATGCTGGTAGATCAGTGGTTCTCAAACTGTTTGGTCTTGGAACCCCCTTTGAACTCTTAAAAACCACTGAGGACACCAAAGAACTTTTGTTTATGGGCTCTATCTATGAACATTCATCATACAGGATGAGAAATTAAACCTGACAGTATTCTAAAATGCCTATTAATTCATAAACTCATTACACGTTAACATAAGTAACATTTTTCTATTAGAGATAACCGTATTGTTTCCAAACACAAGAAGATTTAGGGGGAAGAGTAGCATCATTTATGTTTTTGCA